GACTAGGCAACAAGATAAGTTAACTACTGGAACGGGTGATGGATGTGGGAAGAGCCATCGTGTGTTAGGGTGTGCCAAATTTTTCAATTTTCAATTTCCAAACATTAAGAGTGCTCAAAGCTTGTGATATGCCTTGAGGATTGTAAAGGTATTTTGCGTACTTTAATATAATTTAAAAGATAATTTAGATTTATGTAGATGTAAGGTAGCACAGTGGTTAGAATGCAGTACTGCAGGCTACTTCTGCTCATCACCGGCTGCTAGCAGTTTGGCAGTTCGGGTCTCAGAGTTTCAAGGTTGAGTCAGCCTTCCATCCTTCTGAGCTCAGGAAAATGAGGACCCAGATTGTTAGGGCAATATGCTGACTCTGTAAACCGCTTAGAGAGTGCTGTAAAGCACTTTGAAGTGGTATATAAGTTTAAATGCTATTGCTGTAGCTAAGTGCTAACAACATAAATATAACTTTTTAACATTTTGTTTGTTTCAAGGTATCATGTTTTTATGCAAATATTGTGATGGATTATATCATTTTTATTGTGATGTCATCATGATCTTGGGGAAAGAATAGAATAGAATAACAGAGTTGGAAGGGACCTTGGAGGTCTTCTAGTCCAACATCTGATATCTATTCCATCTTAGATATCAGACTGAAATCAAGGAGAAACAAGAAAAGTATGTTATCCTGATCGAGTGCAGGACCATTTAGAGACATCAAGTTGAAGTTTTTAGATTCATGTGGCATTAGGAAGCATTGGGAGAAAGTCAAACTTGTATAAGAGCAGGCTTTAAAGTGAAGTAGAGACAGGCTGCTGCTGTATAACATGAAAAATATGGTAGAACTGTGCTTCCCTAGAGGAAAGATGACAGATGCTGGGCAGCATCCAGTTAGAAAGGTGTGGATATTTCAAGAAATACTACAAGGGGTAAGTACTGGAGTTGTCACATCAATCAAACAAAACAAAACAAAAAGACAAATATAGCACGAACAATATTTGAGAGAGGGCATATGTATAGTTATTTCTCTGCTAGTACTGGAAAGCTCCAAATCAAGAACTAAGAATTCTAATTTATGAATGCAAATTTTTGTGCCAGGAGATGGAAGACTACAATGGGGAAAGTGTTGCTAATATATAAAACTAACATGGAGGGGGGGAACTAACTTCCTCCATAGAATAACTATAGGTGGCAATATCTGTACACAAACGTAAATTAGATCTAGAGATATATTGTCATCCACTGATTAAAGTATCAAGGACAATTGTGAGATGTTGAATGAAATCAGGAGTACAAATAACTTATTTTAATAATTGGAGGTTTCACATAGATAATTTCACATACATTATGCCTTAGTCATGACAAAGAAAAAAAAAATCTCTGAATAACTTAAATTAATGTGCTTTAGAAGAATTGGGTTTTGGAACTTACCAGACAAGAATTATCTTTAAATTAACTCCTAAGAAGTGACCAAGATGTAACCATTATGAAAACAATAGAAAATGGTGATTATGATACTATTACTATTTAGGATGTATACAAATGTATGACAGTCTTACACAAATCACATTTCGCTACAAAAGAAGAAACCATTCATAATGAGAAGATTGATGAAAAAGAGACTGCAAAGAAATGTCCACAGAGACAAATCTCTTCACAGTATCGGAAGCTTATTTTAAACCACTTAAATTGGTTTATTAATCTCTGGAAAAGGGTCGAATGTTGGGAAATGTGGAAGCACAGAAAGGATTACTAGCAGCAGGGTGGGTGAACTTACATGCAGTGGTGAAGACTGCATTGAAAAACCAATTTAGGAACATATTGTCCTGAAAAATATCTATGTGATCAATAAAGACATTGACTTGATGGCACATAATCAACCAACCAACCAACAACCAACCAACCAAGATTCAACAAAAATATATTCCACAGTTTAAGACAAACTATGACTAATTTAATATAAACCAACATGGTTTTCTATAATGTTCAGGAAGCTATAAAACCCAAGAAGCTTTTCTGCAAGAAATGGAAAGTCTGTTGTTATGAGAAGGACAAAAGGACATAAAATAATATATGGGGGCAAAGTGTAAAGTTGTACTAAGGAAATAATAATAAAATAATTTAAGAAGCATACCATAGAAAGAGAGACCATCTGGTAAGAACTTATTTAAATATATTCAAATTAAAAAGTAGCAGGGAAAGAGGTTGGGCTGTTGAATTGCTAGATGACAAAGGACTGAAAGAAATGAAGATTGCAGAGAATTGCACTGAAATTCTCTTTATTACAGAAAACAGTGGATAGATATCTAAGCTTGAGAGCCACAGAGATTACCTTGGAGAAACTATGTGATGAGAGATAGCAAGCTTGACAGGAAGAAGACGTTAGAAAGAAATCCAAACTAGCTCTCTTAACTGTCTTGAGTAAAAGAAGCATGGGGGAAAATGTTGTCAAGTTTTCAAGATTTTAGTTAGTACAGCCTATACCAATAAAATACAGCTCCAGAAAGTTGTCTGTTTTGTGACCTGACCTATCACATAGAGCTGACATCAAGCCTATACTGACTTTCTAGGGGAAAGTGGGGTAAATTAGAGTAATTGAAGCAAACCGAAGAGAAGTTAGCTTGAACACCCTTAGATTAATTTTCCCACACTTTATATTTTCTGTATTTCTGTTTTTGTGGTTTTTCTTTTGTTTTATTGTACTGTATATTGTTATAGAAGCAATGGCAAACTACTGAAAAGCTTGCCAAGAAAAATGCAGGGATTTGTCCAAACAGTTTCTGACAACTGAACAGAATTGAATGGAATTGTTACTTATTAAATATGATTTATGTGCTGAATGAGAGCTTATAATAATCAAAACAATCAATGCAATTGTCTTCCATTTCAATTTAAAGCCGTGTTTCAAAAAACCATAACATTAACTAATGATTTGGGAAAATATAATGACAGATTCTTTATTCTATCTGGCAAATGAACTATAAATATCCTTGGCAAATGTAGGTTAGAAACACTGAGAATTGCCTTATACCAAATCATATCGATATACACATACAGTATTTATATTCTATTCTGATTAATTGCTTTTTTTCAGAGAGATAGTTCATGATGTTAGCAATTTTAAGATGTGTAGACTTCAACTCCCAGCATTCTTCAGCCAGCAAATTGCTTTGGGAATTCTGGGAGTCTATACTTCTTAAAGTTGCAAGGTTGAGAAAAACTTCTCCAGGGACTCAAAAGAAGGCCATTCAGTAGACTTTCTTACTATCTTTTGCTGTCGGACACAAAATATAGACTCTATTTCTGGAGTAAAATGTCCAGTCATCTTGCAAGAGACCTTTTATAGATGAAATGAAATAGGTGAGACAGGAACCATTTGTAATATTTTCATAGAAATCTAATACTGACATAAAAATGCTTAAGAAAGCATTTTATTTTACAAAAGAGAATGGATGCTACTATACTACTGGATAAATTATGAAGAGCCTCTGTAATATGTTGATTTATGCAGAGAGAAAGCAGCTCTGGGAAATGCATTTAACAAGTAATCCTTAAATAGTGCTATTAGATTCAGCACCCATAAATTCTAATTTAGAGTATAAAACATAATGGACATAAAACCATTATATTCAGCCATCTGGGTTTGATGGATAATTTTACATTTATTTGAAGCATATATAATTAACTCTCTATGTTTATTATTTTAATAATGGCATGTATGTATGTATGTATATATATATATATTAGTTTGTAAAGTAAATATATTAAATATAATCATAATTTGTTTTCTATATTTATAATGTATGCCTACTCAGCAGCAAATCCTATCTGTATAATGGAACTTACTCCTGGAAAAAGATGCACTGAACTGTATTTCACTTGTCTGAATGATGAGCAGAGGGTTGGAAGACCTCCAAGCTCTATTCTGATTGATAGATTGTATCCTTTTATACAGTTAACTATTGGATTTTTGTGCCTTTTGAAAAAGCACTGTTGGGATTATATAATTAATATTTGTTAAATGTTTGTCTGTTTGTAAATATTTATATCATTACTTTCCTTTGAGGTTCCTACTTCCTCCTGCCAGTTTTCCTCACAATACTGTTTGAGAAGGACCAGAATTTAGTCTTTCCAGCCTTTCCTTCACCATTCCACAATACTGGTTAGAAAACTATTGTTTTATATATATATGATAACATAGATAGAAAATAATATTGTATCCCAAAAACATTTTCCAGAGGTGTATCTATTAATTGTTTTCAGCAGAAGCAATGGAGTCTTGTAGTAATCTTTAAAATGAAAAAAAATATAATTTTATGTGTATGTGTTCATAAATACACAATTCAGCTTGAAAGGCCAGAGAAGCACCTGCATACACACACATATATACAGGGAAGGCATCTGAACCACTTTATTCCTGAATATATGCATTTTTATATTTGCCTTTCTAAATGTAATATTTGTATCGGCACGTTTTCCATTTTTTCTTACTACAACTTTCTCATAAATATATTTTCCTGTGCACTGCTTTGATTAGAAAGTTTTGTCACAATATTCAGAAAAATATGGATTTGAGATATAATTGTGTTTCATTTGTGGATTAAACTGAGACTGAATTAGATATGACTACATATAATGCTAATACTTTTCTATACTAATCCTAGCCCGTAATATCTTTTTATTTAGAAAAGCAATGGCATTTTTATTGGGGACTGCAAGAACCTTTATCAGGTTGAACAAAATAATTAAATTTATTGAGGGAATTATGATTTTATCATAAGCCTCCACTAAGAAAATTCCAGTGAAAATCATTGCATAAAGCCCAGTAACTGGTAATACAAGCAATACAGAATAGTTGCAATCAAATAACTCCTTTGGATGTGTGTTTTTTAAAATGTATTTTTCTTATGTTTTCAGTTGTTGCTTTACAGTAAATAAATACAAAGCTATATTAGTTTATACATTATGTGGACTTGTTAGCAAGCTTGATTTTAAAAAATCCTTACCATTCGATTGATGCGGACAAAGTCTTCAGGCTTCTTGGCCCAAGGGGGAAGCTCAACATCATTCACAATAATTTCATCTTCCCTGGCTCCAAAATTATATCCATTACTGTTGACAAACATTTCTGGCAGATAGTAAAACTCTGGAATTAGTTCCTGTTTACAAAAGAAACAAGCTTTATTATTTATCATGCAAAATCTGCAGTTTTTTGCACAGACAAAATTATTCAAGAAATCTTATACTGTTGCATTTAATTTTGAAGTTCAACTTTCTTACATGACTTGCTACATTACATTTGTATTTTTAAAACATCTTAAGTAATTTCTCTATTAATAGATTAAAATACTATGTTCCGGTCTATCAACAGTCTTGATTGGTGGACACAGTTCTAAGGACTTGGGAAATCTTTTTCTTAACTTTCAAAAGGAGAAAAAAGAGGCCTTCTATAACTATACACAAAACAATTACACCCTTATTATCAGTTAAAAACAGCCACATTGTGAGATTTAGTATGCCAGAAACCAGATCATGCATACAAGCAAAGCCCCATCTGTGGGATGTAGGTAGCACACCAAACAACATCCTCTGTGGTCCACAGAAAACCAATGTCTATGGAACCAGTCCCTGGTGCCCAAAAGGTTGGTTTAATAGGACATATCATGGGATTACCAATAACTAATCATGTATAACAAACCCTATCTCATTTTTTGGTAGTGGCTTTAACAAAGCACTCAACCCTCTCTTCTGAACCAAAAATCATCCTATTTGGTAAAAAAAAAAAATCATCCTATGAAGAGGGCTAGTAATCACAACCCCCATTCTCGAAATCCAATGCCAGGGGAAGATAGTAAAGACTCTTCCATTACCCCAGAGATGGATAATGGATAAGCATAAATATTAAGTGCTAAGGCATGCATGTAAGGTTATGGCCCAAGCTCCAGACTGAGATGAAAGAGGGAATGCAAGAACAGACAAGCCTTCTTCCCTTGCTTTGAGTTCCAATTCATCCCCTCTCCCTACAAAGGAAGACAACCTTATAGATACCACTGATATTTGGGGGATCTTTGGCTTATGTGGATATTTTATGTGAAGTTGATGAATCCAAGAAACCTGAATATCAGCAGCAGCATCTCCTAACGTGTCAGAATAGACATTTCAGTCAATCATATTTTTGAATCTTCCCTGTCAGAGTCTGGAATTTAAAACATTTTCCATTCCATTTTGAACTCTTTTCTGTTTCACAACATATGGTTGTCCAGCTTTCACTTGGAAATTATCTATGATTACCAGACTATTTTGACTGTTGGAAGCTAATTCTAATACTCAAATAGAATCTGCATTCCTGTATTCCATGTCTTTTATTTCAGGTGATATTTTTCTATACAATATTTGATATTTTAAAAAATGCTAGATCTCCCCAGTTTCCAGGCTAAACATGTGAATTCCTGCAGCCCTCTCTTCAGAGGACTTGGTTTTCAATTTCCCGATCATCCACACCATCCTTCTCTTGCACATGTTCCACTTTTACTGTATCTTTCTTAAAATGTGGTGCACACAGACAGATAGAATATTTGTGGATTCAAAATTGAATTAAATAATTTCTTAACAATAACCTTTCATATTTTACGTGGCTAATAGAACAGTATACATTCCTGAAAATAAGCCTTTATGTCGATTTTTCTAAGGAACTATCCTGTTATTTCTTGGCTTCTTGTACAGCATTAATATGGCTTTTTATTGCCATTCTATTCTGTAGTATATAACTTTTACATATTATATAATGTTTTGCTTTGCTATCATTTTGAATTTTATTTGGAGAATTGTAGAAGCTTCTAAAATAAATAAACTCAATAATTTTATCTAATTTTTTAAGTTGTCACCTTTCTTCCACTATAGAGTAAGAGAACGCAAAATTGTAATGTTTAATAAGCAGCTACTTTTCAAGTGACATTTTTATTAAAGAATTACAAAGATTCAAAAAATAAAAAGGATAAAATATTATAATAGACATTTTATGTCTTTAAATACTTTTTATTTTATTCATTTATTCATATTTTATTTATCAAATGTATATGGCCAACTTTATATGATCAATTTTAAATGTTTGGCCAACTTTCTATTATCAATTTTAAATGTTTTCTCTAGTTTATTTTACCAACTCTGTTACAATCTCAAAGTACTATTACTAGTGTTACTTGTGCCTTATGTCTTTGAATTAAAGAGAGGAAATTAAGTACATTTTCCAATTTATAAATTTGAGATTCATTCAATCTATGAAAAATTAGGCAATTTTATGTGCAGAAATGAAACTCAATGCAGATATTTTCCCTTAATATATTTCCATTAAATATTCAGGCCTCCATTCTCTTTATTCTTTTCTCTCCCATACTCAAGTTGTTCCCCTGGTAACCATTATTTTAATAATCACCTTGGCTGATTCAGTTATAAGAATGCCAATTCCCCGTATTAATTTACAATATGTCACTTTAATGACATCTTGTTCTAGCAATCTTTTCTGATTTGCACAGACTTGTCCAAGAACAATATGTTTAAGCGGCATTCAAAAGTGAGTTTTTGAACATTATACTTTTGCACTTTAGAGCGGTGTCTTTCCAAAGTAACATTACACTACAGTTTCTTTACTCTATAAAGCACCTTTATAAGTATATTTTAAATTATACTTCTTAATGCAAGGTACTCTATCATACTAATGTACCAATTAGGGCAGTATGTGTCTTTTGTTCCTAATTAATTTTCTGATTTTGAAAATCAAAATTAACATCCAAATTCATATGCTATGGTTTTTTATGAAAATGGGTAGGTGTAAACTTAGTCTTGAAATTTAAGGGAATCAGGCCAGTATACTACAACTGAAGTCTGCAACAAACTTTTTTGCTGTTTTGCAAAAGGCAAATAGGTCATTCAGTTTATATCAGGATATCAAACTACCATGGTTTAAAGAAAAACATGGTTTCATATACAATATCCAAAACTGTTAAGGTATTGCTGTAACTGTCTACAGAAAAAGAAATACAGTACATAAGCCAAAAGAAAATTCACATTTACCCTGGAATTGTTTGTCTCCAAATTTAAAATCATAATTTAAATTTATAAAACATTTCATGTAATATAATATTGAAATAATTAACTAGATGACCTATGAATCTATTTAATCAACTGCTTGGGTTTTTGTTGGTGATAGGCAATCACAAGGTTCCCAAATCTTGAATTCAAATAGAGTACTTTGCTTCAACACAAACTTTGATAGCTATTGAAATAGCAGTTTGTCCTATGTTATATAAGATACATGATAGCCTTTCTGGAAATCTATAATAATGGAAACCTCCATTAAAAATATAATAATAGTGGAAACATCTTTATCTTTTCTCATTGCATGAGAAGAGAGAAGGAGATATATGGGGCACACATCTACTTGTTCTTAAAATAACAAGTCATGATTGGATTGGATAATATATATGTCATTTCCTTTTCAAACACAGAAACATATAATTTAAATAAATTGGTTGTGAGTATTCCCCAAATGGAAGATCCAAGCAGTTTAATTAGCTTTAATTGTAATTATATTTTATTTTATTGAGTGAATACTTCATGAAGGCCCCTGATCAATATTAAGGAGGAAAATGAGTCATACTTTAGGATTAACATTCATTAGACTTTTATATATTCAACATATACATATAACATGATGTTGATTGTAAGGTTGTGGCGGTTAACAGAAGCTGTGTGTGTGTGTGTGTGTGTGTGTGTGTGTATGGAGAACGGAAAAGAGCAAAATTTAATAGTAATTTAACTTTTTTTTAGTAATTTAATAGAACTTTATGTATTCTGAAATTGTTAAACTATGTTTGAAAAATGTATTAAAGATTTATACATAGATCAGAGAACTAAGTTTATAGTGTTTGTAATAAACCATTTCAAAATAATATATTATATGCAGCTTTTGCCTGGGTAAATAGTCTTCAAAACTAGATGGATGCTTTCATGTTAGTATTTACTTAATATATTTAGAGTGAATGTTAGTGGAAAAAAATAGATGGCTAACAAATATTCCTGATAAGAAAATGTTGCATTTTGTCTTTCTGAAAGGACTGAGATATTAAATCAAAATTTTGTGCCAACCACCACTTTTTACAAGTTGTGAACAAAAAAGTGATTTCAGCCTCCAGAAATATGCATAGATTCTCCTCTCCAAACATTATTCTTCTATTTTATATAACAACAAAATATGTTGTTTATTCTTCATTCAAAAATAAGTGCATTAAATGCACATATTGCTATTGATCATAGCAGGTGAAAAACCATCACTTCCACGCTATGCTAATTATATATCAAAGGACATAGATTTCCAATGGAATCCAAACAATAAAAGAACCCAGTAATAGTTTTATGAGTTTACCTTTCTTTTGTTCAACCAATTATTCTTACCTCCTAAGTCAAAACAGAAATTCAATATACAGTATAAATAATGTAATTCCTAGTAGCATTAGTATGAATACGTTCCTAACGTATAGAATATGTTTCTAAAGTTTAGAAACAATTCTAGCAATATACATTTAAAAAAACCTAAAAGGAGTTTACAATAAGTATAAACAATTTCAATATATTTTCTGATTTCAAGCAAGCATATAATGATACAATTGAATGAATAAAGATATTTATAATTTTTTTAAAAAATGTTGCATATGTAATAAGTATATATTTTTATGGGATTTCTAGGCTCCTAATTGAAAATCAGGCAAAGACCTTATTTTTTTAATATAAAGCAAGAATCATGGTTTTTATAGTACAATAAACACTTATAAAATCCATTTATGCAAGAATGAGTGCATGGTAATACTTCAAAAAGCATCTTTGTTCTCTAGTTTTTTCCATGTATTATGTAGATATAAGTTTAATCTAATGTGTATTGTTGCATAATATCCTGAGGCACAATGTGGTAAAAGCTAAGGCTTACACAAAACATACATTTTAAATGTATCTTGTCATTAATGCTTTATTAATTGCCCTAGGCGATGGAAAACTCATGCTAGAAAAGCTATAACAATATAACACTTTAAGGTCACATCCAATCTTGCTGTGTTTATGGAATGGGCCAAATATTGAGTTAACAGCAGGAAAGAACAATTTATTGGGCTTTTCTCCATTCTGTGATTATTTGATTATAAATTGGGATAGGATTATTTATTTATTTTGTCAGGAACAAAAGATCTTTCAATAGCTCAAATATTGGGAAAGCTTGTATTCATCACTGTATGCAAAACAGGCATTTAAAAATGATGATACCAATACAACTTTCTTTTCTGTGTTATGTGAAATGCAACCTCCTCCTCCCACACCCCCATTTTGCATTTGTAGCATGTAACCATACTGACAGCCACCCAATTATTAGTACATAGAAAATATTTTTCTTACTTTGACATCTGAAGTGTCTCGTTGGCTATTTCTCCATGATCTTGCCACTGAAGAAAAAGTTCGATCTGGATGATCAAATTTACCATCATTTGCATTGAGGAAGAAAGTTGTAAAAGGCTCCTACCATTAAAAAATGACACAATGTACTTGTAAGAATTCTGCAAATATTATATATCATTAAATGCAGTTTCAAATGTAAGTTCGGTAGTTTGGTTGAGTTTTAATAAGGGAAAATCTCTTCTTAGTAATTATTTCAGAATGGTTCTGGTTAAACAAAATAATCTCAGGTTTTTTTTTCTATCAGTCACATGTCCATGAAGTCACCAGGACTCAAGGATGCTTAATTCTTCAGCCAGTTAGTTACAAAATGTTTGTGAGAAACTCTTGTACTAGTCACACAGCACAAAGAAGTGCATGCCAAAAATGACTAAGATATACCCGTATCATGGTGTAGAAACAAAAAATAAATTATTCAGAATTTGTGTTTGAACCATCAGCTGATATTATTACAGATCAGATTAGTAATGGTTCTATTTTCCAGTGCCTTAAAGCATGATTGATAGCTTTGCTATACCAGATTTTGTCCTGTTCCTGTTACCCACTTTCAGCAATGAAATCTGCAACTCCCAACTGTTACTGAAATTTCTGTTTTTCAGTGAGCAGCACAATAAAGCTGTTGTGTGAACTAAAAAAACCTGAAAAGTATTGAAATAAGAAAACAAAATATCACGTTTACTGTATATCCCTCAACCTGCAGTTTAAAAGTTAATCCTGGCAACCCATTTGTAAACAAATCCACCCATTTAATATAACTGCTCTCTCATTTCACATTATGACATCATCCCTCATCTTTCTTATCTACTAAGTGCAGACCCTAAGCATGAAAATATTGTTCACCGCTATTGTAAAGGGTGCAGATATCTCAATACTATTCTAATTTGCAGCAATGCTCAATAGAATATGCTGGATTTGCGTGCAAATCCAACTAGCCATGCGACTTTAATGGACTTCACACTTAAATTTAAATACAAAATGTTTCCATAATTTGTGACATAGTCCAGATATTAGTTATAGTTGCCAATTTGAGTTATTTATAAAAATAGTAAAGGATATAAATACATAAATAAAAATTCTACAAAATAATATCCTTGGTATAATATCTTGTGAGAAGGATGCTCCAGAAATTCAACCTGTGATCTGCAGATGCCTGAGGAGCCACGATATCATCACAAGGGGTCGACAAAGGCTTGAAAAATGTTATGATTTAAATCTTGAGTTAAGTCTTGGGGGCCTGGGGCCATGCTCCCTGGCCACAAAAGGTATTTAAAGGAGGTCCATGGTGAAGAAAAGGTTGAGAACCGCTGATTTAGAATAAAATTGCTTGGATTTGTTCACAATTGAATACGAAGTATAAGTCCTATGGAGATGCCTAGGGAATGGACTTACTCCGTTAACAGGGAATGATTTGATTTTATTGGACCTGAGGAAGAAGATAGGATGCTGTGAAATGAAATGCCACTACCTGCATATTAGATCCATGCCCCTCCTGACTAAGACAACCTGGGAGGTAACATGTGAGTGGGTCCAAATGATGGTCAATTCATCCTTGTCTGAGGAATGTTTCTGGCTTCCTTTCAAGAAACGCTGGTGTGCCCCCTACTCAAGAAGCCACCACTGGACCCTATCATGCAGGACAATTTTCTCCCAGTCTCTCACTTTTCTAGGAAATATGGTTGAGGAGATAGTGATGTTGCAATTCCAGAGGACTTTGGAGGAAATGGATTATCTGGACCATTTTCAGTCATGTTTCCCCCCCCCCCCCGATACAGGATCCAAACAGCATTGGTTGCATGTATGGATGACCTCTAGCAGGAGCGGGGGTGGAGGTGATGCATTCATCCTTCCTCTCCTTGGCCTCTCAGTGGCTTTCAATACCACTGACTATGATATCCTTTTGGGCTAACTTAGGAAATTGAGGGTGGGTGGTACAGTTTTGTGCTAATTCACCTCCTTCCTCTGAGGCCAGTCCCAATTGACGTTATTAGGGAACAAGAGGTTCAGCTCGTGGCCCTTTCTTTGTGGCATACCTTAAGGGTCAATGCTCTCTCTGTTCCTTTTTAACATCTACATGAAACCAATGATTGAAATCATCTGTCACCATGGGATGAGGTATCACCAACAAGATGATAATTGTTTCCTAGTATGATTTATAGTACCCTATGACTACTTCTAAGTGTTATACCTATGAATCTTGACATATGTATCTTGAGAGCATATGGACCAAAACAAATTCCTTGTGTGTCCAATCACACTTGGCCAATAAACAATTAATTCTATGCCATGCCATGCCATGCTATTCTATATCCCAGCTATATATCTCCATTCCGGATGAAGTGAGTGATGCAGTGGATGCCCTGAATATCTTGCCTGCCCAATTGCATGGCACTTGAACCAAAAAAGTGAGAGTAAGCAAGCTCTTTTTTCTTGCCATGCTCTACTTTTCTATTTGGGGCAAATATTGTCTTCTGAGATTGAATAACTTATATTAGACAGAGAAGAGCAAGAAAGGAGAGATGTGTTTTGCTAGAGCTTCCATATCTAGGCTGCAGCAAGACGAGGTGACTAAAAGGTCACAGCAAAGAAGAAACTTTGGGAGGGACTTCTTTGTGGCTAACCATCTTTGTCAAGAATTTTATATTTCAGTTATGGCAGCCCTAGTTTATCCCTCCCATTGTTTTGTTTTTTTTAAATCAGAATAGCCTTTGCTTCTGTATTCATACTGTAGGTAAGTGGCAGAGAGGGATAACAATCTGTTAGGAATATAGGATGTGATGGTATTGTAACTAGGGTATTAAGTAGCTTACCAAGCCCATAGGTAAATCTGAAGGGCTGGAATATCTTTTACTTGGAAAAGGAGAACTTGAATCATATTTTTCTTCTGCTTGATCAAGCAAAACAGAGAAAAGTGCCTGCCGTCATATCATTTAAAGAACCAGATGATTAATGAGAGTGACAGTAGAAAAAAAACCCAAATAAATCCTTTGCGAATGGTCTCCTAAATTTGCAGCAAGTACTCCAGGTTACTAGCTTTATTGCCTTATAAGCAGAATAATTCTTGAATGTGAATTTCTATGCTCTAAAGAACTCCCAATCTTGATCATAAGTCAGTTCTCACCAAGATATAATTAGCAACATATGCAGTAAGTGTCACTGGTTTCCTTTCAGGTTACCAAGAGGGATGTGATAAAACCAAATTATTGATTTATTTCAGCAAATATTGCTAGAAGCCATGTCCAGCTTATTTGTTTTGGATTGATTAATATTCATGTATTCTTCTATCATATATTCATGTATATTACAAGCCAACTTGATCTAGTGGTTAAGGCACCAGGCTAGAAAGTGAGAAACAGTGAGTTCAAATTCTGCTTTAGCTATGAAGGCCAGCTGGGTGTTCTGACCCAGCTTTCACAAGCAGTGAGAAACCACTTACTCAAGAGTAAAACAACCCCCTTTTTAAAACAGGGCAGGAACAGTCTTGATTCACATTGGATAGACAAAACCAAAAATAATTAATCACAAATGAGAGTCTTCTCCCCTTCTGAAACAGGGCAGGAACAGTCCCTGTTCACCCCGGCTGAAGCAAATTCACTCCCTATTATTTCTCAGCAGGGAGACTCAGTTGGCACCTCAAATACAGAGCAATTAGCCCCGACAAACCTGGTTCTGACTTGATTGATGTACACTGGAACAAATGGTTGTCTGTGGCAGCAGGCCACTCCCAAACCCTATCTATTTACTATTTATTTCCCAGCTGAGGAGGGTCTGGCTAGCGTCTACCTCTTCTTTTCCCTGAGAGCTGGCTTATTGCCTTCCATTGCTCTCTCCTCTCTTCTCTATGTATACACACATCTGGGATGGGCCCCATCTGTTTGTGATGACCCAGGATACAGTACAAAGATCACACAAACAACTGGCAGTTCAAACCACCCCTTTATTGCTCAAAAGTTCCCCAAATGCTCCGCTTCTGGCAAGTCTTGAGCAGAATGATAACAAAATCCCACACAAACCCCAGGCAGCTTCTAGCTGCAATTAGTCCAGCCTAGAGCTGTTTGCACCAAGGCTGCTCAGCAATAAATCCAAAGGTATTTGGCAGATCAAGGGCAAATCAAGGAGTTCAAGGAACAAAAGATCCAGGTAATTAGTCCAGAACGCCCACAGGAATGCAAGGACTCTTGGCCAGTTCAAATGTCGGCACGCACAGTTCAGAAACTCATCATTTATTCCCTACAAATGCCCCTCCCCACAGTGTCTCCTTAAGTCTCATCCCCTCGGTGTGCCTTGTGAAGATGGTCAGGGCACTCTCCTCGCACGTAGATAGCTCAGTCTGCGCTGATCACGTCTCCTCTTCACTTGCCGGGCCCTTGGATCAGGAGGGGGCACTCCTAGATCCTCACCTGAACTCTGTCCCTCATGTTCCTCCTGCCTGTTCTTCCCTGCCTTCAGGCCTTACTACTTCAGAAAAATCTTTTCTGGACTGACTCTGCCCATTTCCAGTTTCCTCCAAGGCCAACAGAGCCACCCTCTCCATGTCCGGCATTTCTTGTTCCAGCTCATCTTCCCCACAGATTCAGACTCTGATGGGGGGCAAGATATTGTTCCTCCCCCTTATTCAGCTCCGGCCCTGAAGACAGCTTCCTCTTCACCTGGTGGTGGACAGAAGGTCCCAGCTCTGCATCTGCCTCTGATTCTGCTTCCTCATCAGAGCATTCCAAAGGCTCCAAAGCTGGCCCAGGCTCCCCCTCCTTGTCTGACTCTGCTGCTAGCTCATTTGACACTATCAAATTTAATTCCTATTAGTAGGAATCATTTTTTTAAAAAAATAAAGTTGGCGTTTTAAAAGCACTGTATACCACTGCATATCTTTATTTTGAGTTTTAAATGAGATGGGTTTGAAGCAGAGAGTAGAAGCAGAGATTGTAAATAAGAAGTGCAGATTATTTTTTAAAAAGCAGCAAGGGTAATTACAGGGAATTATGTTAAAATGTAATTATAACTTCCATGACAAAATTATTTAAGAGACAAACATAGAAAGTAAGAAGATTCAGAGTGAAGGATTAAACCTCCTATAGTTGAACTCCATAGGGGGGGCTATTATAACACAGTAATGTGTCTATCTTTTGGATTTTTAATCCTTAACAACTGTGCTATGCAGACTCATCTACAGTTATCACATAGCTTACACATTAAAAATGTACATAGAAGTGTTGGTTATAAATATGAAGTCATAATAATCACTATTCCTCTAATATTCAGAAAGTATTTTTCCTTATTTTAAAAAATTGCCACATAATTTTAAGTTAAAATACTGTAGAATTTGATGCACAATGGATTTAATAAAATACATCCATAACTGTGCATTAAATTCCAAAATATTTTGATCTAAAACATCTACATTTCCCTTCATGTGAAATACATATTTGTTTTATCAAGAAAGAGATTGGAATCCAAGCTAAAGTAATAAAAATTGAAGAATTTTGATGGCATTTCGATCCATGTGTTGTTCAATGATGTACAAATTAGATTTGCTCACTTACAAAGGTGGATCAGATTCCTCAATAATCCTTTTCTGTCTATTTTTTTTGTTCTGCTTTTTCTATGCATTGTTGTAATGATAAAAAAGCCTTACATATATTGTCAGTTGATTTCTATTCTGAGTTTTCAGAATCATATTTATGGATTTAGCATTCATTTGCATCAGTTCTATAGTTAGCATGATGATAAGTTTGACATAAGTTCAACTGTCTCCCCACCCCCCTGTCTTTCTGAGACCCATTTCTAGAATTATTGAATAGTCCCAATCTCTGGCCTTGGTGACGATGGTCTACAAAAAGGTATTTTGTGGTAGAATAGATAGAGCCTGAAATACCTTTTAAATGAATACTTTCTAATCCATTGTTTCTTGAAAATGGATGAAATATTACTCCTGGTGTAGAATCAGGTACAGTAGAACCTCTGGTCACGAATGCTTCTGACCATGACCAAATTGGGTTCTGACCAAAAAATTCACATTTTTTCCCCCACAGCCAATTTCCCCTTCTCCGCCATTATTTTGTAAGCGCCAAATTTTCAAAATTAGGTTCAGGTCACCACTAAATCGGGTTGCGACCAAAGCTATGGAACGAATTATGGTTGTGACCAGAGGTTCTATTGTAGTTTCATTCTGGACTTAGGTGTTTATTGGCAGGTCTTTCCTCCTTAATCTGGGTCCTTCAATCCCTGCACTGCAATAGTCTTCATGTTCTAAGAACAATAACTAATATACATTTTTGGCTTGAAATTGGACTATGCCCCATTTTGTCTTTCTTCTTTTATTCCTTGTATACTCCTCCAGTGACTTTTGCTATCATGTAGAACTTTTGGAGATCCCTTGTCCCCTACTTTCCAAAAATTAACCTGATTATAGAGAAATTCTAGCTTTCTAATAATCTTGGAATCACAATCAAGGTTAACATATTTAAGAATTGTTCAAAAACACGTTACTTTATTATTTTACTCCGTTGCCAGCTTCGTCTGTTGTCAGAAGACTCTTGGAAAATTTCAAATGAAATTTTTAACCTACCTCTGACACATGCATGTGTGAGCAGGAATAGGACACTGTTACCCCAAACATTGTAATTCCTTGGGTTGGCCTTGTTATGTCAGTAATCATATTGCCTCATTATATTAATTCCTATTTTGAGCCTTCTCTTTCTGTTAGGTAATTGTATTTAGATAATGGTTGCACTGGAATATTAGGATTCTTCTGTTCTTAAGGTTGACTTGCTTTGTTTCCCTAAAATTTCAGTTCTATAATTAAACCACATTTTTTAAAAAATACAGAAGACAGCAGACAGCTTTATCTATAAAGATATGAAAGATACTTACAATGCGAACAAGCCAGGCTAATGTACATGTAGATGTAGAATAATGAGTGTTATAATGATAAGGTGGAGTTTGATCATTTTCCCATGTCTCATAGCGTTCTGCATAAAAGACAGCTCTCTTTGGATTTAAAGCACCAATGGGCTGTAAAGAGAATAAATAAGAAAGCTTTATAAACCTGCATACCATTTTTCTTCTACATTCTTTAATATTCACAGTATATGACATTCAACAGCCAAAAACTGATAACTCATTCTGTTTTACTGTAATATGGTTGGACTGCTTGAGATGGAATAGGGATTTCATGTGAGAAGCTTGAATTACTAAACACGGTACTTCTTCTGTAAGATACATCTACAAATGTCATGATCATCTCAAAGGAAAAAAAGCATGTGATGTGGTAGCATCTTTTCAAGCTAACATGTTTTATTAAAGACTATAGCTCACTTCATGGGTAGCTAAATTCATGAAGGATTTAAATTGGAATAAGAGATAGAGATAGGAGGTAGGGTAGGGAAGTAAGGCAGGGGAGGGAGAGGTGGGGAGAGAGAGAAAATAGGAAGATGGTAATTTTGCAGATACAAGTTACATGTGAGACACACAAGTATCTTTTCAACTCATACTTATGTTTGCTGAGACTTTGCTCAACTGTGCTGGTTAAGTTTCCTTGTTTGAAAACACTTATTCTGAAATCTATAACAGAGTATCCTTGGAAGTTAAATTATCGTGTTGGTCCTTGTTTTATTATGTCAATTTTGTATCCATTAATTCTTTTGACCTATGTTTGTTCATTATTTGTCCTACATAAAATCCCGGGGTGTTTGGCAAACCGAATATCAAATACCACACTTGGAAGGGAACTTGGAGGTCTTTTATTTCTTCCTCCTGCCCAAGCAGGAAACTTTATATCATTCCAGACAAATGTTTATCCAATATCTTCTTTAAAACCTCCAATGTTGGATGCTTACAACTTCTGAAAGTAAGCCATTCCACTGATTGTTCTCATTATCATGAAATTTCTCCTTAATTCTAGGTTGGATTTCTCTTTGATAAGTTTCCATCCATTACTTTTTGTCTTGCCCTCAGTGTTTTGGAGAATAGGTTGTCCTTTTTTTCTTTGTTACAGCTTTTCAAATATTGGAAAACTGCTATTAGGTCACCCGTAGTCTTTCTCTTATTAGACTAGACATATCAAATTGCTGCAACTGTTTATCACATGTCTCAGCCTCCAGCCCATAATCGTCTTTGTTGTTCTTCTCTGCACTCTTTCTAGTGTCTCAACAACTTTTTGTATCATGGGGACCAGAACTGGACACACAGGCTGGCTTCTATTAATAACTTTGCTTGTGTCTAGGTGTTCATAGATCTATTCCTATCTATTCCAGGATCTTCCCAGGTTCTGTAAGGGTAACTGATCTGCGGTTTCCTGGAATAATTTATTTCCTTTTTTGAAGATGGAAACCACATCAGCTTTTTTTCAGACAGATCGTGGTCAATACCATAATGGGGGAAGAGAATGTAAGGGCACCTCCAATTTTGTGTGTGAAGTTGTTGGGCCTGTGGTAGCGCTAATGATGTAAATGTAAACATTTGAGTTTGTTACAGGGTATGATTCTATGTTAGTATCACTTTTCAGTTGTTGCTTGTTATGTGTGAAAATCTTGTTGGATCTGTATTTTAGTATGGATCTGTCATCTAGTGTCTAAGAAAGTGAAGTGTCATTGTCTAGTATGGTTACTAAAGTATTCGTTTGAGTTGTGACGACGGATGGTATTTTTTAAAATTATACATATTTTAGCTTGGGCCAGCCTCTCTCAGCCCAGCTCACCTCACAGAGTTGTTGTTGTGAGGAAAATAGACAGAGGAAGGAGTATTAAATAAGTTTACCATCTTCAGTTGTTTATAAAAATAAAGACAGGATATAAACAAAGATTATTTAGAAAGCAAAAATTGAACAGATCCTCCTCTTTTTGGGCCTATTTAGTATATTGAAAATTATTTTTTAAGTTTTCTTACACTAATTGGTTCCCTTAATATGCTGTGAATAGTGAACACTGATATACTATGAAAGCTTGTAGTAGCTTGTAGTAGTAGTACAATAAAGAAGTTGTAGTAGCACAATAAAGAAAACACAGAAAAATATGTCCTTTTTCATATTCTAGGAAATTCTAATAACATTATCAAACTCTTGCTGCTTTCATAGTTATCCACAATTTTATAAGAAGAGAAATTTTTGATTTCCTATGGAAATTGATAATTTGCCTCAATTTATTGATTTATTTTATTTTAACTATCCTAGAATGACAAATTCATTTTTTCTCATATATCATGGAAACAGAGAACACATATTTGATGGAATTTCCATATATTAATATATATGTATATATGCACATTTGAAAAGACTTTAAATTTTCCATAAGATAAATCAAATAACTGTTGAACCAAATCACTTAACAACATTGTTCTTTAATTTCCACCCCACTGAACCCACCCACTTTTATTCAATTATTACTTTAACCTAAATAATATAGAACCTGCTCCAAAATCAATTTACCCCATTCAGTCCAGTCATCCCCATCATTATTGCTCCTAAATCATATTAAATTCATAATCAATGGGGTCTCCAGTGCTGTTCCCTTTTGAATGGTGGATTTCATATTATGAGACAAGAAAACCAGATGGGCAGATCAGTGGCTGACATGATTTTCTCTTCTTTTTCTTCATCATTAAGCCATTTAAAAGTAATCCACTGAAAGAAATGAACTGAGCAATCTGCTCCACAGTGCAAATTTTAACTTCAAAAATGATGTCATTTTATTTCCTGTAAAAGGACATCACATGGAAAAATGACTGGCAGTGCCCCATAACTTGCACATTTTTATACTATTTATGTTCTAAATGAAATATTAGTGAGATAACTTCCCTCTACTCAAGAATATTTGAGTTTTTAGCTAACACTATACAGCAGAGTGCTCAGCTTAGCTCAGTGCATTTTTTGTATGGACTACCTATACTAATATTAATAAATAAAAAACTTTAAATTGAAAACATTTTAAAGAATCTAAACTACAATAGATTTTAGATATATATTTATTAGTTAACCCGAAAATATTAAAACAAATGACAATAATCTTATGGGCACACAGTCACTGTTTTATTCCATAACCTAACAAATTATTCATGTTTATTTTAAATATATATTTAGAAAGACTCTAAATAACCAAAACTATTAGAACTTTGAAGTAAACACAGTATAATACAAGTTATTATAATCAATAACTAATCAATATAATGCATGAATATATTGATTGTACATTCCAAATACTTATTGAATTAGTTCTAGGATGCTAATAAATGTTTAGTAAATATGAAACAAACTATATTTGTTTCAGATTCTTTAAACAAAACAAAACAAAAAACCTCCAAATGTATTTTACATGTTCTATCTTGAAGTTAATGTTAGTTTTAAGTTAATATACCAGGATTTTGGTTTCCCTAAACATTCTGATTGTTTAATACTTTGCTGTGTCAAGGATATGCTAATAGCTTTCTCATGTGTGCAAAATATTTTAGCAATCCCTTAGGATCAAGCTTATCTGATGCAGATTGCACTGCAAGACCTCACTAAACATTCTTGAAAGAAAAGCATGACCTACTTCTTAATCTTTTCCAGGCATCTTCCAACTACTGGAAGAACAATAAAATAAATATTTATATTTTTCATTTTATTAAGGTTTCACAGGCTACCCAAGCTTTGTAGTTTTCTTTCATTCACTATTTTGTTCAACAAAAGTAATCCTTGGAATATAAATTATACCTTTAGTATTAATTAATAGTTAAATCATTATTTCTTTACTGCTTTGCCTTCTTGATTATTCAACAAGATACAGCCTAGCCTTGAATTGATGTAATGGGATTTGGTAAATTTCATGCAGCAAAGGTTGATGCAACGTTTGATACAATTGGCAGTATAGCTGTTGAGGTTACAATAATAGGGCCTGAAAAAAAACCCTAACATTTTATTTTAAGTATGTTTGTGATCAGACTTGACAGGAAAGGAATGTTGTATAGTAATCACAGCAGGGATTGGAATTGGGAGTTTTACTTCAGTTGTTAATGGCACATAATCCTTCATTTTTCTATCATGACCCCTAAAATAGAAGTAAGTATTTACTATGGGATGGTTTTGCCTGTTGCTTTTAATTACTGCTTTTATTGTGATGCATTTTCTTGGCATGACTATTTTTGTACATTATTTGAAAACTGTTCTGGGAATTGTTTTCATGAAAAGCACAATTGTTCCAAAACTAACAAAGACATTTATTTGAATTCAAATAAATGGAATGTTCAACTACAATATACTACTAGATTTTATAAAAAAGACTTCAACTATACACCAAATTACAAGGGAGTAAAACTCAATGAATTACATGGAAATTATTTCTCCATAGGCATGTGGAGGAATACAGTGAAAGGTGTGAATCAGTGTCTTAATATCAGATGCCAACAGGACAGATTCTAGTATGATTTTAATATTCTTTACATAAGACATTACTAATTTCAGCAAGCTTTCAAATTATTTTACAACTGAATCCTGCTCCTGAATATTACTTTTTCGAAAACATACTGAGTTCTTTTAATTATTTATTAATTAAATCTTTATGCTGCCCATCTCCCTTACCCAGAGACGGCTATAACTCTGCACGTTAAATCAGTAAGTATAATGCATGGCTAATCTGTTCTAAAACACCGCTCCAAACGGCGGCACTCCAAATGCGGCGGCAGCTCCAAACATGGAAGCGGCAGCTGCAAATGTGGTGGTGGTGCTCCAAATGGCGGCAGCGCTCCAAACACAGAAGCGGCAGCTCCAAACGCAGCGGTGGCATTGGCAGAAAGGAAAGCAACAGTGGCGGGTGCCAAAGGTCTCGGATCTGCAGCAAAGGTGTTTGGCGGGAGTAGGGAGCTCTCTGCGCTCTGCCATGATCACCCGTTAGGAATGGCTGGTGGTAAGGCTGCCCACGAGGCGCTCTAGACGAGGATTCAAGGAGGGCAATTAAGTCACCCCCGAAAAGACGGCCTAGCCGTTTATGCGGGGCTCAAGAAAATATAAGACCTGGCCTTATTTTATGAGAAACACGGTTTTGTCTTGAGGAATTCCAAGAGTGCCATTCCTAGATAACGTAGGTGCAAAATGGAAAAAGCTCTAATTTGAGATTCTATATAATGTCAATTATGCTTATTAGCTGCCTATAAATAATTTTGTTATTATTATCATTATTTTGGCAGATTGAGGTATTTGATGTGTTTGATATTGGTTAATATTTAGAAGAATTTCTCATTAGTGATGGAGCTACAAACTATAGTATTTTGCATGTTTGGAAATAATGACGAAAAGGCCTATTTACACTTTAATGAGTAGAGGTGATACAGGATGCTAAATTTATATACTAATAACACCATATAATGCACTATATAATTCTATATAAAAACATTTTAAACTATTTTTCTTAGAGGAAAACTAAAATAAAATAAAAATTGCAAAAATATTTCCTACTTGAAAACTTAGTGGTATTCTTACAGGAAGATCCAATCAAGTTGAAAATAAGCAGATCTCCCGATGGCTTGTTCATGCCGAGATAATCTATGGATCTATGACAGTCTCTTTCATTAGCTTTTCAACTTGTCAAACAATAAATGTAACCTCTGACCTTTTGTATGTCTTGAATATAACTTGAAATCTCAAATGTCTACTGATAAAACACCTTGACAAAAACTTTGTCTAATTTTTCAAACTTACAATTAAATATATATAATGAAATATGAAGACAAATGCTGTGATTTTTAATAAAATTGGAAGAGTTGCTTATTTGTAGCATTTGTTCAATTCAGCAACTAACAAAAGCAGAAATCAACCTTTATAATTGGTAATATAAAGCTGTATCTTTACAATGACACACAAAATTATCCTGATTTCTAAAACCAGACTTCCAAGAACTGTTCCTGGGGCTATTTTGAATAATTACAGAACTAATTATGTACTTTAAAAGTAACTTTGTAGGTCACTTCCTAGAAAAAGAGAAAGGAAATGCCTTATTTAAGGGCAAAAGAGCAGAAATAGAATATTTACGTATGGGGCAAAGATGGATGTGTACAACCTATTTGAATTAGAGACCAGGCTATATTTTAATTGGACCACATTTTTAATTGAGAATGTAATTATTAAATATTTCTTGCTTTTAGAATTATTTATTTATTTTGAACAATAAATAATTCATTTAAAGTAAACTCCTAAAACACTTCCCACCCTTTCGTTCAGTCATGTCTATTTCCCAGATTCTGTCTGGAGAAGTCCTTGTAGTTTTCTTGGCAGTTTTCTTGGTTTTTCAGAAGTGGTTTGTCATTGCCTCCTTCAAAGGGATTAGAATAAGAAAAGTGACTGGCCCAAAGTCACCTATCTGGCTTTGTGTCCAAGGTGGCACTAGAACTCACAATCTCTTGGTTTTAGCTAATGCCTTAAACTACTAAACGAAACTGGATATTTAAAACATACATATGTTAATTATACATTTTATAAAATGTTATACTCCATGCATTTTTTGAATAACTATACCTTTTGTTACATTGGAAATTAATTTTGAAAATAAAAGGATAAAAAAAATTGTGGAGTAGAAAAGTGGCCTTTCTGGGCTCGAGATATTGTAAAGTAAGCAATACAAGCAAAGGATCCATTTACTCAATTTAATACTTTACTATTGATGCTAACAGAAACTAATCTCTTAGCCTTTGCTAGACATTTTATTGCTATTACATTACTATTGTATATATGTATACACATATATATGTACAATTATGGTACTTCAATATATTAGAAAAACCCATAAATGGGTTGAAGATATTAACAATTAGTCAAATGTTATGCATCCCTTTCCATAGGAAAAAAAAAGATGCAGATAATAACAACTTGCCTTGGGGAGCAGACAGTTGTGCTATAAACAGTTTCCTGTAATTACTATTATTTCTAAGATTTTTAATTATATTTCACTTAAGGATCAAACAGGTGGCTGAGAAGTGAAGTATATTTCACTTATATCTTATACATAATTGTGTAAGACTAGCTGAATTGTTAATATAAAGCAGTATCTAATCCAAAAATCCCTTCTATGAATACAAAAAGTATTTCTTGGCAGCATTTTAAATTAAATATAATTCCTACAGTTATTTGGAGACTCCTCTATGGGCATTAGTTTTTCTTTTTTAATCACATAAGTGATTAATGCCACAAATCATATTCAATACAAGGAAGTCAGAAAATAGTGCTATTAATGCAAAGGAAGATAATAAAGATCCATCCAATTATCATGACTTTATCTGAGAGAACCATCTAGGAGTAAGTATTGAGCCCTCAGTTTAGATAATTTGTGGTTTTATATACCAAAAAAGCTAAGTGTATATTTTATGAAGAATTTTGTACTTGTGTTATTTATAGATATATCTAAAATAAAGTAAAACTTTATTTAAAAAGTGAGGGGGATAAAAATTGGAGTAAGAAAAGAAGGATAAAAATGAAGGGGAAAAGAAGTGTTAAGAAACAGAACCAGGAAAGAAAGAAATATGGAAATCGTACAAAAATGAAAAGAAATTGTTTATTTAAAAGACAGAGGGATAATAGTTAACTAAGAATTAAGAAAGAGGATACTGCAAGGTGCTAAGGTGTAGCATAAATATATTAGAAGTGTTAAACTATTTAGCAAGTAGGGAAATATAGATGATTAAATATAAGATTGGAACTGATACTTTTTTTGTCATTGGAATATTGGTTTATTGGCAAACTAAACATAGAGATAAATGGAACTACTGTGATAAAAGAGAAATTATGATAAACTTATTATTTAAGTCTGATGAAGTTATGGAATATAATTGAAATGAATTATGAAGATTGTTATAATGAGATTATAAGTGGGGGGAAATGGAAGAATATGAATAAAGAGAAATTATAATAAGTTTAATAACTATGATTAATGATTTTATAGAATATAGCTAAAATGAAATATGAGAATTGTAATGAAATTAATATCAGTTTTTCATGATGATTTCAATATATTATTATTATTTTGTTATATTATAACTGTTTGATGTAATTGAAGGGGAAAACACCGTGCAGAATCTGCTATAAAAGGTGTATTTGTTAGGTAGTTGTTAGAAGAGTACTGTTATAAATATTTAAAGTGATAATTAAGTTAAATGATTATTGGGATTGAAAAGGGAACTCATTAGATGATATATAAGTGATAAGGGTGGCACACTTTAATTGGTATTTGTAAGGGAAATTTTTCTTTTAAAGTGTTTGAATTAAGATGGAATTACTTGAAATGATGAAATGAGAATATGCGATGAAGTTGTAATTATGACAGAAAGAAATATAAGTATAATGAATATGATGATATGAGAATTAGTTAAAGCTAAAAGGAATAAGTTAAAAATGAATGGAAAATTTACAAATAAGCTTGAGGAAAATATTTATGAAAAATAATAGAAAATATGTAAAGTAGAGGTTGATATGAATTAAATGTGAAAGATGAATATGTAAACCAAATTATGTCTGTACGGAGATGTGAAACTTGGAGTCATACTGTTCACTAAAAAGAGATGTTTCTTAAAAAAATGTGGAAAATTGAAATAAAACTTTTACAAAAAAATAAAAAAATAAAAAAATAAAACTTTAGTTAAACAGCTGCCAGTCAGAATAGACAGGACTAATGAGCTACATGTAGGATAGACTTATATATTTTCTTAATAAATTAAAATAGAAAATAAAACAATGCAGCAATAAAAATTTATTTTCTGTTTGGTGTATCCCATCCCGCTGTTTGTGCAAGTTGAGCTGCGCGTTCATGCTGCCCCACTACTCATGCCACCCAGTTCCCCTTTCTCCCTGCTGGGCTGCCAAGCCACAAAGTTTGGGA